GTGGCTCCCAGCCCCAGCCCCTGCTGACTCGGCTTCCATCCTCCCCAGGGTGTACATCAAGGTGGGCTCTGCTGCGCCCTTCTCCACCTGCCTGAAGATGGTGGCGTCGCCAGACAGCCAGGCCCGCTGTGCTCAGGGCCAGCCCCCGCTCCTGTCCTGCTACGACACCTTGGCATCCCACTTCCGAGTTGACTGGTGCAACGTGTCCCTGGTGAGGAGGGACGCTGACCCAGAGCTGCGTCCCCTCCCTCCCTCTCCCTGCCTTCCCATTTCAGCCTCTGCTTTCTCCAGGCCGGTTTCTTCCTGATGGTGCCTCGCCCCAGCCCTAGTCTGTGGTCTCAGTCTTGGGGACACACACACACACACACACACACACACACACACACACACACACACGTTCCATCTTCTCCCACAAGGGGGCGGCAAAGTCTACAATACGGGCGAGGGGTCTCCAGCTAGTTCTCCAGACTTGGCCAAATAGAGCAGACCCCAAATCCTTTCCCCACCCGGAGCTGCTCTGTGATATCTGTCTGCTTCCCACCGACGTGTCGTCTAGCCAGCTCACCTGCAGTGAGGAGCAGTTTCTAAATTATACACCAAACCATATCACTCCAGGAGACGGGTACGCTAGGATCACTGACTTTACAGCTGAGCAAACCGAGGCACTCAGAGGCAAACCATCCCAGGGGAACACCAGGCTGAGCCATGAGTCAAACCCCGGCAGCAGGGCCCGAGAGCCGGGCTAACCATTGTGCAGTCTGAGCTCTGCTAGAATTGGCTGCTCCTGGCTCCTCCCCCAGGGCTTGTCCTGTTGAGTCACAGGGGCTGGGGGGCAGGAGGAGGAAACTTCCCTGAACACAGGGATGAACCTAAGAGCGGGTTGGCCCCCACCCTCCGCCCGGCCCTGGAGCCACTCCTGGGTCAGCCCTGGGCTCCGTGCAGGTGGATGAGACAGTGCCGGCGCCTGCGGACGAGGTGCCCGCCCTAGGGGACGGCATCCTGGAGTATGATCCGTTCTTCTGCCCCCCAACTGACGCTGTGGCCCGAGACTTCCTGGCAGACGCCCTGGTCACCCTCCTGGTGCCTCTGCTGGTGGCTCTGCTGCTTACCCTGCTGCTGGCCTATGTCATGTGCTGTCGGCGAGAGGGGCGGTGAGTGGGGACCCCTGTGGCTCTGGGCTACCTGGTGGGGCGTGGGGTTGCAGCCACAGGAGAGCAGGGCTCTTTCTAGGCAGCTGGAGCCTTGGGTGCTGCCCAGCTGGCCCCGGGAGGAGCCTGTGATAAGAGCTCACCAAGGCCACACACTGGAGCCTGGGGACGCTTTGAGACAAAGCCAAGAGTGGAACTAACCTTCTTCTTTGCTTTCCCTCAGACTGAAGAGAGATCTGGCCACGTCTGAGTGAGTAAACGCTGCCGGGCAGCCTGGCCCCTCACACCTTTGCAGAGCAGGGACAGATGGATGACTCTGGGGGTGATGGGGGCCACCTGACCTCAGAGCTCTGACCCGGAGGTGGCTGTTTGCTAGGCCTCTGTCCTGACTGCATCTTCTGGTCACAAAGGGGACTGTTGTGGCACAGAGGGAGGGATCTCCCTGGGGGTAGGATGCAGACACACAGACACACACACACACACACACACACACACACACACACACTTCACTGAGCCAGACACCCACGTCCTAGATTGGGCTCTGTCCCTTTTTTGGTCTCAGATTCTCCACATGCAACAGGGCGTAGTCAAGCCACACCTGGCACACACCTGTAATCCCAGCACTTGGGAGGCTGAAGCAGGAGATTCACCGAGAGTTCAAGGGCAAACTGGGCTACGTAGTGAATTCAAGGCCAGCCTGAACTGCATAACAAGACCCTAGCTCACAAAAAAAAAAAAAAAAAAAAAAAAAAAAAAAGATAAATAC